ATATATATATATATATATATATATATTACATCATGTTAACTTATAGTCAATAATTTTGTCTCTCAAGTTCAAGCGTTTTTTAAAATTATTTTAAATCATGTACTTATATATGCTACTATTGTCTTATTTATTTATTTTAATTATTGTCTTACACATCCAAGTTTGAATGATTTACAAAAATGCTATCGTATTTTTTAAAAATTACATCTGATTCGTTAGATCTTTTCAGATGGCCATCTCTGATTGATTCGTAGTTTTCTCCTGCACGCTTGTTCAGATAAGAATAACACCACCTTGGTGAGCTTGCAGGCAGCTCATAGAGTAAGAAAAAACATTTCTACATTCAAAAAACATTAATATATTTCTAGTTGGCTCGTGGGCAGGGTAGGTGACCCAAGTGCAAGGTAGAGGCTCCGCAATCTTGATAGGAAATTTTCGGTTGTTATATTAAAGACCGCGGTGCATAATCGATTATGCACCGCGGCCCATATACGGCGCCGTTTCTTTAAGTAAAGAAACGGCCCGCCGTTAGAGTTAACGGAGTCCGTTTGTTTGGTGTATTAAACACCAACTGACACTACAGTATATCCAAATCGACACTGCAGTTATATCAAAATGATACTGTAGTTATAGTGAAATGAAACTGCAGTGTATATAAACTGAAATTGAATAACATTTCACATATTTGAGTGTATATTGTACAATGAAGCTGTAATTGTATCAAAATGATCATGTAGTTATGTTTTAATAAAACTATAGTGTATATAAAATAAAATTAAATAACATTTTCACATATTTGAGTCTATAAATATCGAATGAAACTATAGTTATATCGAAATGAAACTGTAGTTGTGTTCAACTGAAACTGCAGTGTATACAAAATGACACTAAATAACAGAGTTACTTTTTGCAAAAGGATGCGAAACGGCGAAAATAAACACTGTTAATTTTCATTTAAAAAAAAAAAGACGCGCGGTGCATAATATAATTTGCCGAAATTTTAGAGAAAACAACACCCAAATGAGCTCGCAGGCTGGGTAGATAGCTCGATGAGGTAAGAATATTATTTTCTACTAATTACATTTCCGATGCTGGGCTTGCAAAACAGTGTAGGCAGCCCAAGAGAAATAAAAAATATTGTGGTTCGACTTATGGGCCAATAGTTATGTTGTGCAACCGAATGTACCATGCGCATGGTGCATACGGTTCAAAACGACGTCGTTTTGATTAAAAACGCGCGTCCTACTTAAAAAAAAAAAATCAGGTTCGACTCTCAGCAATAGCATTATTGTGGATATATAATTATGAAATTGTGGATATATAGTTATGAAATTGTGGTTATATAGTTATGAATTTATGGATATTTAGTTCATTCATTGTGGATATTTAGTTCAATCATATATTGTGGATATTTAGTTCATTCATTGTGGATTTTTACTTCATTCATTCATTCATTGTGGATTTTTACTTCATTCATTCATTCATTGTGGATTTTTACTTCATTCATTCACTGTGGATATATAATTATGAAATTGTGGATATATAGTTATGAAATTGTGGTTATATAGTTATGAATTTATGGATATTTAGTTCATTCATTGTGGATATTTAGTTCAATCATATATTGTGGATATTTAGTTCATTCAATGTGGATTTTTACTTCATTCATTCATTCATTCATTGTGGATTTTTACTTCATTCATTCATTCATTGTGAATTTTTACTTCATTCATTCACTGTGGATATATAGTTATGAAATTGTGGATATATAGTTATGAAATTGTGGTTATATAGTTATGAATTTCTGGATATATAAAAATACTATTGCCGGGAATCGAACCTGATTTCTTCTTTAAGTGGGACGCGCGTTTTTTTAACCAAAACGGCGCCGTTTTGCAACCGTATGCACCTTGCAAGGTGCATTCGGTTGCACAGCATAATTTGCGCTTATAGGCTAGGTAGGCAACCCAAGGGGATAATAAAACCAATCCGTTTCCAATGCTGGCTTGCAAAGCAAGATAGGCAGCCCAAGAGAAGAAAAAAAATACATTATGGTTCGGCTTGTATGCTAGGTAGGTGATCCAAGGAGAGAAAAAAACAATTTCTCTTCCAATACTGGACTTACAAAGTATATATATATATATATATATATATATATATATATATATATATATATATATATATATATATATATATTCAGCTTTAGCATCCACTCCTCATCAAGGACGCCCTCTAAAAGCTCCCATTTCCACCCGCGTCCGCCTTCCCAATAGTCGGCGACACGGCCGTACAACTCCGGCAAGGGCACCGACCTCTTCATGTGGTCCTACAGAATGTGCCCGTGCACCCAGTTATCCATCCAAAACTTAGTGCTCCTGTCATTGCGAACAACTTTTGTCAGGCCCTTTTCAAGGATGTCATACGCGCTGCAAATCCCTCTCCGAGCGTTGGACACACTCTGAGATGTAGTCGCAATCCATCTACCATCCCGCGCTCTATACTTGGTGGTTAAAACTTCAGACCACAAGCTGCCCCCTTCTGTGCCAAACGCCATCCCAACTTTGCCATGAACGCGGTATTCACGTCCTGCAATCTGCGCAATCCCAAACCGCCCTCTGCTTTCGGCCTTGTCACTATCTCCCACTTGACCAGGTTAACTTTCCTTGCTTCGCTGTCCCCGCCCCAGATAAAACAGCGTGTAATCGCCTCCAACTTTTGACAAATACCTTTGGGCAAGCTCGCGGTTTGCATGGTATAATTCGGGATAGCACTCAAGACAGACTTTGCCAAAGTGACTCTGCCCGCCAACGTGAAGAGCTTGCTTCGCCATCCTTCTAGTCTGGTCGATAACCGGTCTAGAAGTCCTGCAAAAGTAGCATGAGTCACTCGACCATGCACTGAAGGGACTCCTAAATATCTGCCCAAATCCGTCGTGGTCGGGATGTTTAGCTCAGCTGAGATGGCCTCTGCAATACCCGGTGGCGTGTTCTTCGAGAAAAACACTTGTGATTTGTTTAAACTGATTTTTTTGCCAGAAACTGCACAGAACCGTTCCATACAGTGTTTGATAACGTTTACTTGTTCCAGGCTCGCCTCGGAAAAAGGACCATGTCGTCGGCAAAGCAAAGATGAGAAAGAGTAAGCCTGTCACGCGAAAGTCGCACCCCTTTCCACCTGCCTTCGTCCACTTCAGTCGAAATACTCTGGCTTAGGCGTTCCATGCACAAGACGAACAGAGCCGGTGACATGGCATCACCTTGACGTATGCCCCTCCCCGGGCGGAACTGTGGTAATCGCATGCCATTCCACACAATGGACATAGAAGCCGTTTGCACACACTCCATAATGATGCGCGTCCATGTCTCGTTAAAACCTGCATCCAACAAAGTATCATTAATAAAATTCCAGGAAAGGCGATCGTACGCCTTTTCTAAATCAATCTTAATGGCCATCAGGCCTGTTCTCCCTTTCCTAATGCGCATGGAATGCATAACTTCCTGGTACACTAAAATGTTATCTGTAATCTGACGTCCCGGAACAAAAGAACTTTGGAAAGGCCCGACAAACTATGGCAAGATAAACTTGAATCTATTTGTAATCGTTTTAGTAAGCACTTTGTAAATCACATTGCATAAACTTATATGCCTAAATTGCTTAACGGAGTCCGGCACTGTAACTTTCGGGATAAGAGCTAATAAAGTGTCATTAATGCCCGCTGGGAGGGAACCCCTCGTAATAGCATCTTTGACTAACTTAAAAATGCCTTCTCCAACTATATCCCACATCTGTTAGTAGAACGCCGCGTGGAGCCCATCCGGGCCAGGAGCCTTCATGGGCCCCATGTCAAAGAGCACCCCCCGAACTTCGTCTTTCGTTACTTCATTATGAAACGCCCGCCATTCGTTGTCAGTAAGTCTGGAAAACGGCCTTGGATCGCCTGCGTCACGTATGTGTCGGTATCTTCAGAAAATAAATTATAATAGAAGTCATGCACATGGTGTTGTAACGCGTATGCATCCTCTATCCAATTCCCTCTATCATCCTTCAGACTTAGAATTCTATTCCGTGCTTTGCGAACCATCATTGCTGCATGGTAATACTTCGTATTTCTGTCCCCCGACACTATCCAATCCTCCCTGGAACGTTGGAACCACATCAATTCTGCTTGGTACAGGACCGTTTCCAACTCCTTTTTCAAACTCCTTTCCAGCTTGGCAAGGCCTCCGTGATATAATCCCATATTAATTTTCTGAATCCCCCAAATCCGTGCTAGGAGGTTCTTTTTCTTAGCCTCTATGTTACCAAACACTTCTCGATTCCACTTTGTTTGGTCCTCTTGGACCTGTTTGATGTTGCGTCCAAGGTCTTGGTTCACACCCCAGGCCCGTTTGACCACGTCGGCGAAGGTATCATTGGTCAACCATGCTGCCTGGAATTTGAAAGGTGAATTGTGAAACTATGTTGGCCTCACCCCAGTCTTAAGCAAAATTGGCGCGTGATCTGAAGCTATTCGGGGTAGATGAGTGACCGACGTCTCTTGGAACTTCTGTCGCCACCCCATATTGCAAACTGCTCGGTCGAGCCTCGCCCCATTGCACTGCATGTTGTCCGACCCTTTCACCCATGTTATCTAGGGCCCGGGGTAAAACCCAAATCGATCAAACCCTTCCCGTGGATCCAATTTATGAACTCTGCACTTCGGTAAGATGAGAAATCAGAGTAATTTATGGTTTCCTCCTGACTTGTAACGGCGTTAAAATCCCCCGCCGCCAGCGAAGGGCCCTCAATATTGCGTTCTGAGACTTTTAAAGCACTCCTCAAATGTCGTCTCAAATGTGGGGCCGGGCTTGCGTAAATAACTGCCAGAGCCCACGGGTCTTCGCCAAGTTCCTTAACCTTCAACAAAATGAACTGGGGGTTAGTGTACTCAACCACTACCTCCACAGGTTTGTTCCACAATACCCATATTCCCCCGCTGAAGCCTACAGCCTCCACACGAACCCAGTCCTCGAACCCGAGCTTTTTGCATATTACGTTAGCCTGTTCGCCCGACACCTTTAGTTCCACCAACCCAACCAAAGCCGGCTTGTAGGTTTTTAAGAGTGTTTTAAGGACACGCTGAAAATTCCTCCCTCCAACGCCCTGACAATTCCAAAACAAATAAATCATTAAACACATGAACGAAGAAGAAAAGAAACGCCTAGGAGAACAATCGAGCAAAGCTCAAAAAAACGCAGAAAACCAATCAGATCTCACCCTCTCCACCACCGCCAACGGGTTCCCTAGGCGGCTCTTCCATTTCCATAATGGCATCCCCATCTTCGTCCATGTCTCTTGGTTCATCAGAGTGGTGTTCCCCAAGACTCTCCAGATCAAGAACTGGACTTCCATCCCCTGATTGATTCGAGCTCACCGTTATGGTTCTGATTCGGTCCCCCCCCCGCCCCCCCCCCCCCCCCCCATGTGAGCCTCATTGTAACACCCCACTTTTTCGAAATCTTAATTACAATTCTAAACCGTAATTAACATAAACTAAGCAGCGGATAAACAACTTAATAAGTAAACTAGTGGGAATGTCACCGCCACAACCACCACTCCGTGGTGATTGCACAGGCTAAGGATGAAACTAGAAATAAAGGTAAAATAACTAACATCCATAAAACTTAATCGAAAGTCATAAGGGGGAAAAAACACCCCGATGTCTATCATCCAACAACAAAACATAAGTCTACAATCTATCAAATAAACATCATAATAAAAATAAAGAGCTTAGACTACTAGATCTACTAAGCTAGTTACTACTAGATCTACTAAGCTAGTCTAACTCGATCATCTCTCATACGCTGGGCCCACCTGAAAGGGGTTTTGCAAAACAATAAGTAGACAAGTAGGAAAACACCCATTAGCACGAAGCTAAGTATAACCACATTCAACCCTGTAAAGTACTACAATATATACTTTGGAAAAACATTTGTTCACAAACTCAATCAAACAATCTCAACACTTAGACAACTTTAGATACAACACCGACTTTCTATATGCCCGCAACCTATAATATCAACAGGCATGCTTCAAATATAAATAACTCATCAACATAAATATACCAACACATATTTCTCATAACAAATCTCATCATAACTAACTCATGTTATCAGTCAAATTCATACTAACAACCAATACGAAATTGTCTTCATGCTATCAAGTTCTCATCATGCAAACTGGGTATGTAAGACATCAGAATGCAACTAAAGCAATCATGCTCGATAAACAACCTCGGTTAATCATTCTCATATGCAATCTAGTGCAATACTATACTCAAATGCAAACTCGTGCAAACATTCCCATTATGCAATCTCGTACAAACATTCTCATTATGCAATCTCGTGTAATACTATACTCAAATGCAATAAGATATTATAGGATAAGTATACTTATACACTCGTTTATAAATAGAACACTTTTCTGTGGATGTTTCTTGCTTGCTTTCTTTCTCTGGAGTCTCTTGACTCGATTTCTTTCTCGCTCAAACTTTCTCATATTTTCTCGTTTTTCTTCTTGTGCGAGGCAGGTACTCCGTCGGAGCGAAGCCCTAGCGTACGGTGCAATCTCGTGCATTCGCCACATCCGTAACTACAGAACCTCTAACTCGTGGGGAGGTAGGTCTTCACGAATCGTGAATGGACCTAACCGGCTCGGCAATCTAGCCGGCCACATACTGAACTCGCCCACAGAACCAATCTCGTGGTTTCAATACTCATACTCTGTGGAATCAGGTATCGTACTTTTAGTGTGCACACCCCCTAAACAGGATTCCAAGTTCGGCGAGAAGTCTCCAACCTCGTAACGTGGGAATACGCTGCGTTACATATACTTGGACCACAATGTCCATTTCTTTCTTCTCGAGAGGACGTAGTCCAAACGGATCCTCCAAAACAAAGTTTTCCTCACCATAGATATATATAGATATTTCACCCATGCATCTCATATATGCAACATTTAACTTATGCAAAGAGAAATGCACATACTTCTCAACTCATTCTCAGAAATAAGATAAGGATGCTCTACGTGAAATATGAGATTTTTGGAAAATAATACTTGGGCTCACGTTGGCCACTTATGCACTTTTAAAACATGGACTACATGGAATGTCAAAGACTATACAACATGCTTCAAATCCATGTATATAAATCATAAAATTCTCAAGAATACAATATCATACTCGGCTTGCAACATATCAAATTCTATATATTTCTATCATCAAAATATACTCCAAATTCCATTGATCAAACATCACATTCTAGTCATGCTTTTCTAATAAATCATATTCTCAGAATGATCATGCTTTTCTATTCATTTCTCAACAACATCAGGAAAACAAAACAAGGCAAATCTCATTTACAGTGAACTCAACAAATAGTACTGTGAAGCAAAATCATCACCAAATCCATCATAACATGCTCATTTCTAATCCAAATTCAACGAAATCAAAGCCAAAACGTGCGTCGAGACGGCCCCGAGGTACCGAGCCACAAGGGCCCGTGACACCTGGCCCGAAACGACACGTAGCTGAGCCACAAGGGCCCGACCACTGCACAGACTACTCTCTGGGACCAGGGGGCGGGGCTCCTCATGGCCCGCCCCTCTCAAGCCGCCACAAGCCTGGCCTAGGCAACGACCCTCTCCTAGGGCCGTACCTTAGGCCTGGTTGGCCACGGCTCTAGCCAGCGGCTCTCCTGATGGGCCGTTGGCTAGGGCCGTTGCATTATTCTAGTGCACACTGTGTGTGCACCAGATGGATTATTTCTTCTGCAATTCAAACCCAAGCAATTCCAAAATATCCAAAACATTATCAACACATCAAGGACAAGTAATAGATCACTTCCAAGCTCAAACACAACAAAAAATCTACCATTTCTAATCATTTCTACTCAAAAGACTAGGCTTCACAGAGCCAAAGATTAAAGAGGGAGTCCATGGGGTTATACCTTTGTAGAATTCTTCTTCTTGCTTGGATTCCCCCTCTTCCTTAGCTAGCTACAACCTCCTAAACATTTCAAACAAACCATACAACCAACCCTTAACCTATAACTCAGAGAAGAAAGAAAGCAAAGATGAGATGGAAGACCAGGATTGAAATGAGAAGAAAGGAGAACTTACTGTGGCTCCTCTTTGGTTTTGCAGAGCAAATGTTTGGGGAAGCAAATGGTGGAATCAGGAAGAAATGAGAGTCTACTATTCTATTTATATGGGTTCAAAACCCTAGGTTGATCACTCATGATTGGTTGGGGGCAAAAAGGTAAGAGATTGGCCTCAAATGTGTTATCAGACAAGCTTTTGGATGGCTAGTGGTCCACCATGCTCCATGGACCAAGGGCTAGAATTACTATTTAAAATACTTTGGGGTTGTCACATTCTTACCACCACGTGATCCTCCTCCTCAGCAACATTGCGCGATGCCCCACTCTTCCTCTGTCTTCCACTGGTAGCCTCGCCTTTCTCTGCCGCCGAGGCCTTCGCCTTGCCTGTCTGGTTCTCTATTTGCCTCTCGCTTACTATGACATTTGCCCGGCGTTGACTTCGGGGTTTCTCTAAGGCTTGTGCCGCTGCAGGGGACGTGTGGTTGCGCTCTGGCGCCACCTCTGTTGGTGCTAATTTCTGCCCGGTCACCTCCCCTTGGACGTGGTCCTCTTGAACATCCGCCAGAGGCTGGAAGCGTGATCTGCCTTGGTGTGACTCATCTCTTCCCGTACGTGCCTTGCCACCCACCTCCGACTTCCTCCGCTGGCGATTATCAGTTCTTGTGACCAACATCCACGATCCAAAAGTTGCACTGTGATCTACCACAGTAGCCTGCTGCTTCTGCACCACCAACTGGTTTGCTCCGGTGAGCCCGTCATCTTCCTTCTCACCAGTCTGTGAGGAATCCCTAGCTGCGGTAGTCACGGCTTTCCTCGGGCAGGCTTCGTGGTTGTGCCCGTACATTCCGCAAAGGAAACAAGCTAGATGAATCCCCTCATAGGCGATGAATCTGGTCCTCCCGTGTCTTTTGAACTTGGAGATGAGGGGCTTTGTAAGATTAATCTCCACGCACATGCGCGCAAAGTGGCCTTGGGACGCCAAGCTCGTCGCATGATCGACCCTGATTGGGCGACCGATCTTCCTCCCTATTTTCTGCAAAAAAAAAAAAAAAAAAAAAAAAAAAAAAAAAAAAAAAACCCATCATAGTACTCAATAGGAAGACAAGGAAAACGAACCCATACCAGCACCTTCTCAGTCTTGTCCGTCGTAGGATCGAAATCTGGAGCCCATTCCTTAACGATCAGGTAATGATCGAGGACCATCCAAGGCCCTTCGTACTTCGCGTACTCCAGATCCTCCTTCGACCCAAAGCGAACCAAGAAGTAGCCATTGTCAATCGCAACAAGATCCATGCTACCTTTAGGCCTCCACAGAGCGTTGAGTCGGCATAGCAAATAGGAATACCCCACCTGCTTACCCTAGACTTTTACGATCAGTGCCTGGCGCCAAGGTTTACGGATCGCTTCCTTCTCCTTATTTGTCAATCTGATCGTAGGACATAGCGGATCGTCATCCCCATCCGCCCCTTCGCCATCGGAATAGACGTCATTCCCCTCTTCATCCCCTTCCAGCGAGATCGATCGTACCGAGGCCTGGCCCACGACCGTATCCCGATAGGATATTGGACGCCTCGGGCTACATGGCGCTACCGCGTTGTCGTTGTACGCATGCATTGCCTCAGCTGGTGTCTCCGGGACGACCTCCGCCATGTCCATAGCCTTCTCGGACGATACACCATCATCGCGTTTGGTCTTTTTGGTACTACGTTCAAGCAAATCCTGATCCTCCGTCGTTCGTGAAGCAGAGAGCGTCATCGTTTCCTTATAATTGCCGTAAGTTTTATGACACCCAAAAATGACTTTAATACCTAATTAATTAATTCCTACGATTATTTTGTTAAGAGAACGAATTATTCTTTTAATGCCCAATCCTTTTTCCTAATATCTTAGTATAATAAATTTATTCAAGCCCAAATTTCTTTAGCTTTTTAGTGTATATATATATATATATATATATATATATATATATATATATATATATATATATATATATATATATAGGGTAGGATTCCAGTGAGAACATGTGCTTAGGTGAGAACGTGAGAACACATCATGTGCATCCATTTAATATTTTTTAATGGTCTAGATTAGATTAAGTGTGTGTGAACGTGCATTAAATGTGTGCAAACGCGATTTAGTGCGTTTGCACACATTTAATATAATGTGCGTACGTATGATAAAACAATCAAGTGTAAACATGGTATGTTTCATGATCGAGAGGTATGTATATATGCACTAATCGCACTATTAATTTCTAAAAATATTTCTTAATGCATATAGGTTGCACCAACAGTAAGTCTTTCACATATTTGAAAGAAAACCCAGATTTGTTATGGTATGCTTGTGGGTTGCTCACAGACAATGGAAGTAACATAGATCAAGGTAAAGAGTAATAGTTTTTGTTGTTAAGAATATAAATGTAATGTAATCCTAATTTTACATCAGAATAAAACTGCTGGTTACAATATTTTGTTTGTTTTAATGTTTATATGCATTGTAGTTTCACACTTAGTTACAAATTTTTGTATTTTTTACTGTACTACATTAAATTTGTAAGTTTAATTAACTATCCTCCTCAACATTCCCTCACATAGCATTAATTTTTAAAACTTGGGTAAATATTACTTCAAATACAATGTAAAGAACATAATTTAACTGGATCTTGGTTTCACAGAAATGAATTGTTTAGTTTCAAAGCATGCTACCAAATTTAAGGACAAGACATTGTAGGTAATTATAGAGAGACATTGCAATCTGGATATTTACAAGTGGCAAGGAATGCAGAGCTGGAAATCAAGTAAACAGATGCAACATGGGTGATTTATTTAGCTGTATTTATAACAAAAAATGAATACATTTCAAATCAGAACATTGTTCATGTATTTCAAATCTCTGAATATCAAAATTTCACATTTTTAGTACTCTTCATTTTGCAATATGTATCCATCAACCAGAAGACTAATGTGAGAAAATAACTTCATCAACAATTTTTGGGAGCAAATGGTAGCAAAACACAGCAACCACATGTATGTACTACTTCTAAATGATAAGTTAGTGAAATTTACGTGTAATGCCTCTCTAGAAATCTGATTAATAATTCTGTTTTATATAGCCAGAAGACAATTGTTCATCACTGCATGCAAGCGAAAAGGATTAGGAAAGCATTTACTTTGCATAGGCGTTGGTCTTGAGAAAACATTATAGTTAACACAACACAATCGAAGCAGGCAATAACATTCTCATTGATCAAATGTATGTATAGACATAAAACAAAATAATAGAGAATTCAACCAAAAAAAATAAACAAATTGGATTCGCACTGAAATGCTTAATCCATATTTAATTTTTAATATAAATGAATGATAACCCCATCTTTAAAAAAAAAAAAAAAAAAAAAAGGATTAGACTAAAATACCTAAAATAGAAAATTTTGATTTTTTTGGACTGTTTAATGTTCTGCAATCTCAGAATTTTCTTCTTTAAAAAAAAAAAATTGAAAAAATTCAATGTACATATAATCAAGTAAATGAAGTCATAATTATCTAGAAAGAAGAATCTATTCATATATGTAGAGTAAACCAAGTAGTAATTTAAAGTTTACTTATCTCATGAGATTTGAGACTTCAGAAATTCTTCATTAATACCTGCAGATTTCTTCAGTGGTCTTTTGTAGCTCTATTTCTTCTTAGTTTTAGGAACATAGATCTGCAATAGTAGGATTTAGGGTTTTGAGAGTAGTATTTAAATTCTTTTGGTAGAAAACAAAATAAAACTTACTACATGTGATGGATTTCGCCATTTTGGAAAATTTTGAAGAGATTTTTTGGCTGAAACCCCTTATTATGGAATTTTCTACCATTAGGTTTAGGGTTCTTGAGTTCATGGAGGTAGAAGCAAAGTTTGTAATGGACTTTTGGGTTGAAGATCTTAGCATCGAGCGATGATATAGTGAAACGGCGTTGCTTTCCAGAATAGTGTAGGTAGATGGAATTTAGGAGATTTCAGTGAAGAAGAAGGTGAGTGGAGAGAATGGCTGGCTTGATTCGGGTTGGGGGAGGTGGGTTATACATATGGGCTGAATCTTTTTTGGGCTAGGTATAGATATGGGCTTCGACCCATTATTATTATTATGATTAGAGTTTATTACCGATTTGATCCCTTGACTATTGTTAAATTACCGATTTGGTCCTCGACTATATTTCTTACCCAATTAAGTCCTCTAATTATCAAAAAGTTAACCAATTTGGTTTTAGTTGAGTCTGCCGTCAAAAAACTGTTAATTTGGAGGCTAATTTCGGAATTTTCCTTCACCTGCGTCATGAGTGCGCCATTTATATCTGATATGGGTTGCTGAGATTGTGCTCTGTGAACCAAAAGATATGTAAAGTACAGAGCTTGCCGATGTCGAACAAGAGCCCATTGGAATCCGCCCATATCGGAAGATTTTTTCGCTGGAAAACGGAGGAACGGTCAGCTCCGTCTGCTATGGCGAAGCTGGGAGATAACTGAGTGACGTGAAAAACTTCGGCGTCGCCGCTGAAAATAGCGTGGAAGATTCCGAACTCGCGCGCCACGGCGGCCATCCACCCGAAAAAGAAGTACGCTACGACGCAGAGCGGCCGGAGCCCCCCGTTCTTGAATCACATCGGCGAGTAATGTTCTGAAGGCAGGCTCGAGGGAAGGAGAGAGTTCGAGGAGGCATAGCCCGACATCGTAAGAGTGAACGTCGGCGGTCTCGGCGTCCGGCGGGAGCCCGTGCTCTGTTCCGTCGAAGGGTACTTCGAGAAGGCGAATGGAGATGCACTGTAATTTACTCTTTCCAATCTTACTTTAATTTGCAGCAATACAATCTATGTAAACTGGGCAAAGACACCAGCGTAGCATGCTAAAACATCAAAAAAGCATGATAACAATAATACCTGTACAGAGAATCGGTGATGCCGCCGCCAATTATCGAAAATTCCCAAATCATGGGATAATTTAAAAGAATCAACTGCCTGCATTATCACACTAAAGTAACGGTGCAGTAGAATTTCAACAGCATAAGATGATAATCTTCCCATCACTCAACGTTCAGTTCCAATTCATGTGCATACCTCGATCTGCTTCAATTTCACAGAAAAGAAAAGAAAAAAAAAAATCCCAAAATTTTAGCTGCATTATTTTAACTTGGGAATAAAAAAAAAAAAGGCAGTCTGTATTTCAAGTTTTCAACTGATAAACTTCGATTCTTCTATTCAAATCATGGCGTTAAACTTTGTTAGTTGCTTATATCGATTGTGGATGAAAAATAGACATACAATAATGAAGTTAATATTTGAAGGAAAGAAAATGAAGGGGAAGAGGAAGGAAGTACGGACCTTGAGATTTGGGGAATTGTAGAAGGAGAACACAGAGGAGATTGTAGAAGATGCGATGATGGAGCACTGATGGCGCAGGTGAAGGAAAATCCCGAAACTAGCCTTCAAATTAACAGATGTTTGACGGCTAACTCAACTGAAGACCAAATTGGTTAACTTTTTGATAGTTGGAGGACTTAATTGGGTAAGAAATATAGTCCAGGACCAAATCGGTAATTTCGCAATAGTCAAGGGACCAAATCGGTAATAAACTCTTATGATTATAATTTGTTTTTATTTTTTTAAGAGATTATGAATTTATGATTGTAATTATTATTATGAGTTAATACCATCTGAAATCTTTTGAATATAATAGTTTTGTCACATTTAGTCTTAAACATTCTAATTGAGCACTTATGGTCCTTCGGCATTTCTATCTTAATTACGGATTTTTCGTATAAAATATATACATACATTATTGTATGTAGTATGTTGCAGCTTCAAGAGTTAGCCATCTAAATTGTTTAAAATGTTGTAAGTCAACCACTAATGTGATTTACAAATAAGCTTTTAATAATTTGTAACTTTGATTAATTTTTTGTTCTATTATTATTAATTAATAATAACGATTGATATGAGACCATAATATTTATGCTTATATTTTTTATACCGTGCATCGCACGGGTTAAATACTAGTATATATATATATATATATATATATATATATATATATATATATATATATATAATTGTTTTAAAAAAATAAAAAATATATAATTAAGCCAATCATATTAACTACTTAGGGAATTCATTGACAAAAAGAGTATTCAAATCACACAATAATTTAAAGTGGGAAACTATCTCGCAATGTTTTTGGTTGGCAATCAGCAATTAGCTCTTCAATATTAGTATATATTTAATATTTTATGCCCTAATTTTTATTTGCTCTCCCTTATGCCTTGTATTTGGTTTCAACCATACCTATACAATTATTGTATTGCCAATTATAATCAATCTTGACTATATTATCTTGCATTTGTAAACTTAGAATTGCATACTTAAATACGCAAATTTAACATTCAATATCTATGCATGAACAATTCCAATATAATCTTGCCTTGATATACTTTAAAGTACTTATTAAAAAAAAAAAAAAAAAAAACATTGGGCATTATCCTAATCGCGCAATGCACCTAAAAAACTAGTATATTAATAAGAGCTTAAGAGAGTTAGACCTATAATGGATAGAAAAAATGACGGTCAAATTTTTTAATCAAATGAATGACTCAGATTGATCAGATTTTAATTTTTCCTTAACATTTTCTAATTAATTCTTAATGAATATGATTATCCATTAACTTTTCTGTTAAATATTATCTTTTTAATTTCTGTTAGTTCACCGTTAACTTACTCGTTGATTTCAATAAGAAAGGTCTTAGGTTCGAACCCCATCCCAACTTTTCCGTTAAATATTATCTTTTTAATTTCTGTTAGTTCACCGTTAACTTACTCGTTGATTTCAA